TCTTCCTCCTCCTCCTTCTTTTCTATCCCAACACAGGCAATGGCTCAGGAAACTTGTCCCGGGGCTCTCTGCCCAACTTCCAGGTAACTCTGCTGAGCCACAGTCTTCTCTATCTGGCAATTGTTCCTGTTGGGATGTGAGGCTTGTAGATCTTGTAGTTTTCAGGAGCTTCCTGGGACTTTTAAATTGTATTTCCTTCCTGAGTCAACTTCCTTCCATGAGGTAACATTTTCATTTAGAGGAAACAGATACACCACATTAACTTAATCCCAACACCCTATAATCCATTTAGGTTCCAATGAAAGAGATGGCAATCTAGAAAAGTCCTGACTTTGGTACACCTCAGAGAAGGGTATGCTAAGTTTACACGACCTATTTCTTGGTACTAGTCCTCTGGAACAGGGACAGCCCAGAGGACTTCTTTGGGCTGGCTTCACCAATTCATGTTCCAACAGGCTCCTGTGACAACAGAAGAAGGACATGCCCTGAAAATCAATGGCCCCAGTGTCTCTGCAGTTCTGTCTGCAGGCTGCTCTGGCTCCTTCAGCTGGGTCATGCCTGGCTTGAAGAACTGGCTACACCTCCAGCAGGATTGCCCAACCTTGTTTGGTTTCCTGGTCTTAATGCCTGTCTTGTGGTCACAATCCTAACACTGGCTGGAAGCCTCCAACCACAGGCAATGGGCGATGTCCCCTGAGTTCCAGGTCCTGGCCTTATAATTTATAGATTTCTCACATTTGAATTTAGCTTGGATCCCATCATCTGAGCTGAGATTTCTTTTTTCTAATTAATGCCAGTAGAAAACAGTGTTTCCAGAGTCTTAAGTAACTGGAGCTGTTCATCTACACTGACAGATCTTTAAAGTAAAACCAAACATCACAACACCTAAAATTGTAGCTCCTGGATCTGTCTCCCGTCTCAGAGCCAAACATCCCCACTCTAATGAAACTTGCCTTGCCAGTGACCAGGGTTTTTCTTGGATCTGCTTTTGCTGTAGCTGTCGGATCACTTAACATTATAACTAGAAAATTCCTTCCTTTCTTTAAGGATGCCTACTGTTTCCTGAGGTTACTCTTCCACTACTGTTTCCATAAATAGCAATAGTCAGTTTGGACGTTAATATCAACTTAAAAAAATATCTGTGACCAGGCAAAGTACTCAAGCATAGGATGGCAACTGTGATCTTGTAACCACCACATCTGTCCCCTTTCCCAGTACTTTACAAGAAACTCTTCGTTGAAAACATCTAGATTTCCCTTTACAGTTTGGGGGGCGGGGCAGAATTGACTTGCAAATGCAAAGTCAACCTGGAAGAAGAAATGGAAGTTTGAGGAAGATGTAACACCCACATTCTGGAGAGCATTGTTGGAAAATCAGCCAACTCATAAATTTTAGTCACTAAATAAATGTCCTCAACAACTGGGCCAGCAAGATGGCTCAGCCAGTGGATGGTGCCTGCCTCCAAGTCTAACAACCAAGTGTGTCCCCTGGCGGTGGAAAGAGAACAAACTCCAGCAAGATGACCTCTGATTTCCATACACTCACACATACATGGGAACAATAAATCAGTAATGTTTAAATGTTTTAACTCTCTCGAGCCTTCATAAAAGGAGAGTGGTAAAAATGCTACAGTTCTTTGATGACACAGTTCAGTGTGTAAGAGCAAGTGGGTTTCATGAACCTGATCTGCCATCTCTTTATACAGATTATGATTGCACATAATGAAACCAATTTCTGTATGTGCCTTGTGGAACTGGTCTGTAGCAACTGGCCTTTGATAATTTGAATAAATACACAATGACAGCAACTACTATACGATCTTTACGAATGCCTATTGAAAGGGTTTTCTGGGGCTACGTACGTGGAATGCAACAGACTGGCTGGCTCAACAACCAAAACTTATTATCTCACAGCTTTTGAGGCTTCAAACACAGGTATTGGTAAGGTTGAATCCTTTAAGGACCCTAAGGGAATAGTTTGCCCCATGCTCCTGACCTTGGCTTGTGGATAGCCACCTTCTTTCTGTGTCTCTTAATATTGTCATCTCCCTATGTGTATCTGTCTCTGTCCAAATCACCCTTGCATAAGTACAAGAGTCATACTGAGTCAGGGCCACCCTAACGATTTCATTTTAACTGTGGTACCTCCTGAAAGACCCAATCTCCATGTAAGGTTACATTCTGGAGAGTTTTGGCCCCAATATAACTTGGGAAAAAAGGACTTAAAGGAACAATTCAACTTAGCTCCTACATTGTATGTTCACATGTTTACATTTTTTTCACTTTAGAGATGATGTAGTGTGTACATATTATTATAAAAGTAAATTTAGATATTCCCACATGCCTTAGACTGAGGTACCTCAGGGGTCCCTGATGCTTCGTCCTATGCCCTGGACTGGACAGAGGAGCCACAGAGCTTGCCTATTTGGGATATCAAGGTGCAAAAACGGGGACAGAAATCTATTTCAGAATGGTGCTACATATCTGTTATCCCAATACACCAGAGGCTGAAGCAGGAGGATTGCTGTGAATTCTAAGGATCAGACACTGGACTTGTTCCAAGCAGCTCACATCTGAACACAGGATGGAAATGTGTGTGCTTTGGTACACAGTCTGCCTCAGGCAACTTCAGGTCGACTTTATCTGCCTCCTCCAGTCTATCCCTGCAGAGAGAACAGCATGTTCAGTTCACCAGAAGAAAATCAGATGCACTTGTAACCCAGCTCCATTTCTAATGAGCCATGTGGTTTGACAATGTTGTCCTGGTTATCTGGGACTCATGTCTTCATTGCTAGAAAGGGAATATGCCCAGTTGACAGGGTTGGTGAGCAACTTACAAGAAACTCAAGTCCCTGAGATTATGGCACCAGTCTGTAACAAGAGGACTGAGATTTATGAGCTTCCTTTCTCTTTCCTGCCCCCTTTGTTCTCAACGCTACCATGAGATAGAATCGCTTTTAAGGACTTTCTTTATTAAGTGTGTGTGTGTGTGTGTGTGTGTGTGTGTGTGTGTGTGTGTGTGTCTGTGTGTTTCATTGGTGTTTTTGCCTACAAACATGTCTCTGTGAAGGCATCAGATACCCTGAACTGGAATTACAGACATTTGTGAGCCACCATGTAGGTACTGGGAATTGAACTTGGGTCATCTGGAAGAGCAGCCAGTGTTCTTAACCACTGAGCCATCCCTCCGTCCCCAGGACTTTCTATCAATAAGTTTCTCTGAAAGGGAGGCCATGGGTAGGACAGGAAGCACTCACCAAATCTAAGATTAACTCCAGCCCTCAGATCAGCCGCTAAGCATTTATTAACACTCCACCACAATGGCATTGAGTGACCGTTTCATTTTCCAAAACTGATCCTCTCCCCCTAGACCCATCACTTCAGAAAAGACCCACCTTGGGATGCAGGCCACATATTTTGTTCAATGTGTTAACAACACATTTCCAGTCAGCCAATTTCATACAGCCAGGGAACACAGGAAGTCAACTTATTCCTCCACAGCAAACTCCCATGGTCCTGAACTTCTTCTCCATGGGTCCTCAGGCACAGATATCTACCAAATTCAAACACCATGCCAAGGGTCCTAAATCTCATGACATCCTGCACTGTGTGGTTCTCATATAGGAGTTCTCTGATTAGTATAGGAATTATTACTGAACCAGCTTGGGGCCTTTGACATTCTTTCTTAGAAATCTGGCTCTCCAGTTCATTTTCACCCCAGAATAGGGCAAGTAGGGACAAAAAACGAATCTTATCATCTTCTACAGAAGGCCTCTAAGGTGACACAGACATTATCCCACACCCTTTTCCACAGTTGCCTCACACCCTGACACCCAAAGAAGAAGAACTGGGTGAGGTCTTTTTCTGACACTGTAATATGGTCCTTTTGTACATTCCTGTCCTCTAATCTTGCCCCAACAGCTCTCTGACCTCAGAATAAGCTTTGAAAAGAAAACAGAAAGGTGGTGCTTCTTGTCATACACCCCAGCACACACAGCAGCATGCTTATCCCATATTCGCTTCTCTATCAGGAGTTACCCACCTCTGGGAACAGGAAATGCACCGTTAGTGCCAAGAGAATTGAGTTAAATTAAAATGAATGAGGGCAGAGGCCAGATGACAGAGCAAAGAAAAACGCATGACATTGGGCCAAGAATTCAGGAAGACCTAGATGGCCACTCATAATTACAGTAAAATGAATAGCTAAACCTGTAAAAGGCCAGTCCATAAGAAAAAACCTGCCCACACTTGCCTGGTGTTTCAAGTTACACACACAAAACAATTGAGTCCCAGATAGATCTAATTTCATTCATAGGGACACACCTTTGGTTAACTTGTGTTGAGTCACAGGAGAATTGGAAGTTATTGAAATGGAGAAAGTCTTAGAAAAATCAGTGCTCAGAATCTCTTTGAGTTACAAGAATAATCCTTTTATACTACAGGAATGCTGGCTTCAACATTCTACAAACTGCCCAGGTCTCCACCCATGGTGAGGCACAGCTGTAACTCAGCAGAGCTAAGACAATGCCCATGGGTATTGGTAAATTGCCCTGGGTGAAGAAAAATCAAGTTTCTGGGCACCAGACACCAACACCAACCTCAGATATAGAATCAGAGTAGTGTTAAGGGGCAAGCATTCACAATGGGCAAAGAGGAGCCCAATGCTATAGAGGCTGGTAAACACCCCTATTTGGTTGGGGGGGAGTACCATATAGATGCAGTGTTTATTCAACATATATATTTATGTGTCTTTTTTTTTTTTTACTCTTTCACAACAGATTTTATTGGAGCAGAGTACACACATTCCAATTCTTATCACACGTATCCCCAAAAAGCCATATATTGTGTTCACGTACCCAAACTCTGAAGAGTCACATTGTGTTTATGTATGCAAATGAAGAGCTACACACTGTTTTTCTTTGAACTTATTCTAGTGATGTTCTAGCCTCAAACTTGGCAAGTTTCCCCAAGACCTCTCATAACAACCAAATGCTCAGAATCCTCAGTTCCACCAATTCACAATTTTATGCCACACACAGAACACACTCAAAATTTTCATCTTTCACAGCGTATTATCACAACTGTTAGGAAAATGGACTGCCGTGATCACAGACATCACAGTTCTGACAGGGCAAGGACCAAAGACTGGCTTTCTTACAAAACGGTTCTACTAGAAACACGGGACCAGATATAACTGAAAATATTCCAGACACAAATGCACGACTGAGACTCCAAATTGCCATTTAGTATGCTTTGTATTGAAGAATATAAAACTAGCCCCCTCTACGGAATGTTATGGTGACCCCCCGAGACAGTCACAGCCTCTCCTGATTCAGTATCCTGCTATTTTCTGGTTGTACCAAAAAATAAACAACCAGCAAATGATTTAACCTCTTAAAAAAACCATTTACACTTAAAAAATGGGATGAGGTGGGATCCCCTCACCTTTTAAAAATGTTTCTAGAGCTACTAAAAAACTCGCATTTACAAAATAGTTGATAAAAATATTCCTCTGGATTGTACAAGAAGGGAGGCAGGGACCACTGACAGACATGATGGATGCTTAGTCGGACTTGGCTTCTTTCTCTTCTTCAGAGGCTTGGCTCTGGTTTTCCGTCTCTCCATTTTCTGCAGGCAGATCTGTAGCTTGCTGGTCAGCCACTTCAGCCTGTTTGCCCTTCGCTCCCCTCTTCCCTTTTATCTGCACTTTTTTGTCTGCTGCTTTATCCTTTCCCGCGGCCTTTTTTGGCTTCGCGTCCACCTTGGCAGGGGCAGGCTTGGCCGACAGCCTCGCGGAGCGGCGCTTGGGCTCCGCTTTCGCAGCTCCATCTGCATTAACCTTCCTCTTGGGCATCGTGGCGGCGCGGGGTGGGAGACGCGTGCGACGCCGGATCTGTCACGGAGCTGCACTGCCTAGCCGCCACCAGACGAACTGCTGCGACCCGTCCATATTTATGTGTCTTAAGTAGTCTTAAATATAAGATCAAGCAATCATGTCAATAGAAACAAAAAAAAAAGAAATTTGATGTTCAACAAAGCTTCACGATAAGTTTCTGAAGCAAAATAATAAAAAAAAATGAGTAATAAGTTAGAAAAAATAATTTTGGTGGATTATATCTCATATAATTCTAATATTTTTTCTTTTATTTTTGAGATTATAATAAAATTATGTCATTTATCCCTCACTTTTCTCATTTCAAATCCTCCCCTATAGCCCCCATGCATGGTTTCTTTTTTTGTTGTTTTTTTGTTTGTTTTTTTGTTTTTTCGAGACAGGGTTTCTCTGTGTAGCCCTGGCTGTCCTGGAACTCACTCTGTAGACCAGGCTAGCCTTGAACTCTCGAACTCAGAAATCCGCCTGCCTCTGCCTCCCAAGTGCTGGGATTAAAGGCGTGCGCCACCACTGCCCGGCGGTTTCTTTTTTAATTTATTTATTTATTCACTTTACATCCTGATCATGACCCCCATCCCTCCTCTCCTCCCAGTCCTACCCTTACAAATCCCTCACCCCATCACTCCTTCCCCTTCTCCTCTCATCGGGATGGAAGCCTCCTTGGAAAACACCGGTTCTTAAGTGCCCCACACTTAGTGGTACACAATGATGTTGTTCCATCCCAAGCTTGTATCTTTATTTTTATAAAACAACACTACTATCAGTTCCTTAACAAATTTTCCATGCCCAGAATGCCATAGTTCATAAGCATTTGGTATGCACAACGACATTGTCAAGGGAGGATGCCAGACTTCAATATTCTGATTATATAGATGTTCTAATGGCCTCACCACTCAGGTGTCCTGCTGGGTTAGGAGTGGAGTCTGGTCTCCTGAGCCACACCTAATGTATCTATGGACAGGACCTTGGAAGCCTAGATAGCCACATGCCTGACACGTGGACAGCAAACAGCATAAAATAAAACATTGATTTCGTGTCTCATGTGCCGGCATTCTGCTTTGGCTCTTGAAGATACTGCACTACATTAATGCAGGTCTAACCTCTGCACCTAAAGAGACCACATAGATACACTATCTGAGGAGCATCACAGATCCCCACTCTTTGCCATCAGGAGGACAGCAAAGGTGGTAGATGTTCCTGAAGGCCCATCTTGACAGTCAGGCCCAACTAAAGGGCTTTTGACTTCCATGGAGGCTCCAACAAAAGAAACAAGATTTCCTCCACAAACAACACACACCAAGATGGAAATAGAATCTTCTTGCCTTCACTGAATAGAAAAGTATACAAAAAATAAAATAAAAATAAACGCTCTGGCCCTAGAAGCATTGCAAGTGTGTCCCGTGTGCATCAGTAGGTGGCAGAGAGGAGAGAGGCTATGTCTATGCTCAGTGTTCTGACCTGTGAACATCAGAATATTGGTAGCCTAACAAGCTCTGAAAAAAAAATGAGCCTGAGATGACCATCAGTCCAATGCCAAGTGGGGCTGGACAGGGAGCTAGCCTGAGACAACTACCAGTCCAGTGCTGTGCAGACCCAGATGGGCTTCCCATACAGGGAGGGAGCTGGAGACTAGAAGACTGACCTCAGGCTGGGTGAGAGTGACCCTGAAACAGATGACCCTCACATTGGGCCACTCAGGTAGGCCTGAGAGAGGATGAAGCCCAAGATGACCACCAGACTGGTGTTGTGAGGTTCAGACAAGGAGCTAGAGTGGGATGACCACCATCCAGGAGCTAAGCAGTCCTGGGGGATTGAGAAGGGGAGCAGACCATGCCTGAGATGACCCCTGCCCGGTGCCATAATTCGAGAGCAGGGCATAGCACTCATGACATCCTGGGTGCCACTAAGAAGAGCAAGTTATGGAGAAATGGAAAAGAAAAAGAAACAGAAAGATGTGGGCTCAATGAAGAGAGGCAGAACTGGAGACCCAAGGATAGTGAGGAACAGCCTGCTGTGAGTAGCCTGTGATGTCACCTGGGAACGTGGTGGGGTCCTGGGCTGTGCTGCCACCAGGGGCCACACCTGGGTCTGTGGTCCTACAGCAACAGGGCCAGATATCCCTGGTCTGAGCTGCTGCCTGGGGACATGTTGATGTCTGAGGGCTGCGCAGAACTGGTCCCACCCCTCGCTTATACAGTCATAGGAGTGCTGCTTCTGGGGCTTTCAGAGCAGGAGAGCTGACCCAACCCCTAGCCAGCTACAGTACTCAGGAGAGTGTGCCCCACATATTATGGGAGCTGCAGGTGAGCTGGTCCTCCCATGAAGTGGTGTGAACAAGAGAGAGACACCATCCTACCCCCTTCCCTCTCACTACCTGTGACAGTCAGGAGACCTGGTACTGGGTCATGAAAGCAGGAGAACTGTTCCTGCCCCTCACCAGCTGCAGCACTCAAGAGAGTGGGCTCTGCATCTCACCTGGGTGGCAGAGTAGAGCCGACCCTGGTGGCAGGGATAGGGGCAAGCTGGCTCTGAGGGTGTGAGCATGGGAGAGCTGTCCTTGCTACTAGTCTGCCATGTGGTGGCATGGGTAAGGGAGAAATACCCCCCTCATCCCTTGTCACCTACAGCAGGAAGGATAACTGGCCCCAAGGTCATCAGGTCGAGAGAGCTGTCCCTGCCTCTCAACTGCTGGAGCACTCACTGGGGAAAGCAGGGCCTGCACCTGGACTGAGCTGGCTCTGGACATGGGAGATTTCAAGTAAGCTATCCCAAGGGTGTGAGCACAGGAGATCTTGACCTGTGCTGTGTCTTCTGTGCAATGGCAAGGGCAAGGGCAAGATGCCCTCCTCACCACCCTCATCCCTCATCACCTATGGCAGGCAGGGCAGCTGGCTTCAGGCTCATGAGAGTGGGAGAACTGGTTCTGTCCCTCACTGGTTGCACCACTCAGAAGAACGGGCCATGCACCTCATCTTTGCAGCAGGGTAGAACTGGCCCTGGTTGAGGGGGTTGCCAGTGAGCTGGCCCAAGGGTGTGATAACAGGAGAGCCAGCCAGTTGACCAGCTCAGATACCTTTCAGACCTAAATCTAGGACTTTGAGTTGGCCCACTCCAACATCTACCCCATTGATGAACTGCTGGCGTGCAGGAAGAGGTTGATCCTACAGATCCAAACAACAGGATATCCAAGGAAATCCCAGTGAGGTTACAGTATCGATAGAGAAGCTGAAGACGGAAGCCTTGTACCAGACTTGTTGCAATGAACATTTGCAAGCAAAGAAGTGTGGACAAAAGGCCTGTGTAGTGTGGTATACATACTACAGCTTCCACAATAAGATTGTTTTCTATGTTTGGGGGAGGTTACAAGGGTTGACAGTAGATGTGAAGGGAAGGGGAGATGAGTAGGATTGGGCACATGATACAAAATTCACAAAGAACCAATAAAAAGTTTTTATTAAAAGGGAACAAATTGTACAACCCATACACTCTCCATAAAATCTACTCACCACCACCAAATGGAAATTCTAAATAAAGCCAAGCTTTTAGTGTCCCCTGACTCTTTGTCAGCCTTTTGCTAATGATCATTAGACTTGATATCGCCTCCACAAAAAGCACTGAGAATTTGGGTGTGACACAACATGGATGTCCCCAGGGTACAGCTCCCATCAAAGATGATTCGGCTGCATCCGCTTGACTTGGTTATTTTGGGAAAAACTTTAGTCACATCTCTTTTTTTAGCCTCAAGGAATTTTATTATTTTATAATTACCTAAAAATCATGTGCAATACATAGAAACACACATTTATTATTATTATTATTACATATGTATATCTGAAATAACATATGTATATATGAAATTAAGTCATTCAATTTGGACTGACAACGCTCTCTGGAAGAGCCACAAGCTATCTAACCAGTACTACATAACTAAGCATGATAAACCTCCATTCACCTTGCCATTGTAGTAGGAGAGGTTCTCACAATACAAGCTATTGATATTGTCTGTGGTTACCCCTGAGAAGCTGCAAGTAAGTCCTTATTGCTGAAGACTCAGTTTAGACACAGGACTCAGAAGACCTGTGCTGTATTAACCTGAAAATCCTCCTTTCTGTCATACAGTTTTTATACCACTAGAAAGTAATACGTAAGCTCCGAGCTAGTCAAGCATTCCATAGATCCGCCCAACTGTGATGACAATGAATTATAACAAATATCAGCATGGTAAGATTTCTAAAGGTGAAATAGTAATACTCATATCTTTGTAGTAATCAATATCTGAATAACTTAAGGTCCACAGATTAGAAAAAGCTCTTCACCAACCCTATGTGTAACAGAGGGCTAATATCCAAAGAACTCAAAAAGTTAAACACCAACAACACAAATAACCTAATTTAAAAATGAAGAGAATAATAAAATGAAGAGCTAATCAGGGAATTCTAAAATGGCTGAGGAATCTTGAATAGCTGAGAAGCACTTAAAGAAATGTTCACGGGTTGTGGTGGTGCACACCTTTGATCCCTGCACTTGGGAAGCAGAGGCAGGCGGATTTCTGAGTTCAAGGCCAGCCTGGTCTACAGAGTGAGTTCCAGGACAGCCAGGGCTACACAGAGAAACCCTGTCTCAAAAAAACCAAAAAAAAAAAAAATCTTTCCTTTCTGTGTTTATAACCCCTGTGTGAATGAATTACGATTTGAGAAAAAATAAATTATTTATAAAAAAAAAAAGAAAGAAAGAAATGTTCAAAGTCCTTAGTCATAAGGGAAATGCAAATCAAAATGGCTCTAAGATTCCATCTTACACCAGTTAGAATGACTAAGATCAAAAACTCAAGTGACAGCTCATGCAGGTGAGGATGTGGAGCAAGGGGCACTCCTCCATTGCTGATGGGAGTGCAAACTTGCACAACCACTGCAGAAATCAACTTGGCAGTTTCTCAGAAAGTTGATAATAGATCTACTTCAAGACTCAGCTATACCACCCCCGGGCATAGACCCAAAAGATGCCAAAAGATACACCATCCCACAAAGACACTTGCTCAACTATATTCA